AGGATATTCACAAAAGAGCTTTGCCATAACTTCATCCTATCTGTGACCCAGAATATTATAATAGCTTGTGCAGCATAAAAGGGCAAGAAAGGATAAACGTCCTTTGCAATTATATAACAATAAATGAACCATAGCTGATCAGCATTATGATAAGAAATGTCTTGAGAGAATTTATTTAGTCAGTCATTTAGGAGAATTTGCACAGGGTAAAATCATTGGGCATATGGGCGGCATGTGTTCAAGGACTCCCTGCAGCATTGAAATGACACATTATTATAATATATAGTACACTATCTCTGTTATTATGGTGATTCTTGTGGGAAAAATAAACCTATGTTTTTCTATATACACATTTCCTGGGCATAAAACAATATAACAACAAAGGTGATGTGGAAAGTGTCTAAATATATTTTTTTAACAGTGAAAAGTAGTGATAGGGTGAAATTTGATTGAGAATGGCATACATTTTATAGAGAAATATTCAAGTGTTATCTTTTTTAACATGCAGGTATTTAGCATATAATGAATACATAGCAATCAATTACAATAAATAAATCAATATATTTCTTTTAAAAATTGGTTCCAGAAAAATACTAAATGTTCCAATGTATTTTTGTACTAAATAAGAACAGGGCAAGTAAGAGAGACTTCACATGCTTACATCATCTTAAGGAAATCCTGTGTTTGAAAAAAAAACAAAAACAAGCATGTAAACAAAAATAATTTGTGAAACCAGATGTATCTTCAATTCTATGGCACACAATCATCTGTTTACTATAAAAATCAGGCATTGATCTTAGTTAATAATTCTTGCAAAAAAGCCAAACTTTATCAACTGGCTAGATCCAGTTGCTAAACTCAGCCATTATAAAATAGATTTTTATTGATTATATTATGTTAAAAACAAAGATAATAACCACTAGAAACTTACTGCTTTCTAAAATTTATAATACATTGGTGGACAAAAGTAGGTTTACAGTTGTGACACAAATAAAAAATTCAATAATTAATAAATAATACAAGAAAATACTCTGTTTTTGCGTACTCACAATAGTAAACCCACTTTTGCCAACCCCTGGATATTCTAATATTATTTGTCTTGAAGTTATGTCTATTCTAGCTACTGTGCCATTTTCCTTAACTCCAGCTGATGTTAGATATGTTGCTCCGAAAAGGCTTGTGTGATATTTACACCATGACAATGAAAAAGAGTGTCTTTCTTCAGTAATCTTTTCTGTCACCTCATTTGCAAGCAAACATCTTAGCAAATTTGTTGGTTTCTTTGTTTTGTTTTGCTTTGTTTTGAGACTAGAGGCTCGGAGCATGAATTTGTGCACAGGTGGGGCTGGGCCAGTTTGCAGTGGGGGAGGGGAGGGTCCACAGGTGGTTGGCCAAATGGCCCTGCCCCTGATCAAGGTGAGGGGGGCCAATCTAAGGCAGGGCTGGCTAGAGGAAGGAGCTGCGAGATTGGCCAATCACAGTATCCCCACTGAGCCAGCCGGTTGGCCAGGCACAGTGCACATCATAGTGACTGGTCATTTTAGTCATTCCTGTCGTTCTGGTCCTTTTGGCTTTTATATATAGAGATTTTTTTTTTTTTTTTACTCTTCTCCTAGTGGAAAAATGCCTCATGATAGTAAAATAGATTCTTAGGCTGAGCATGTTGTCCTATTATTTTCTTTAAAGTATAAATGTTATTTTTTTCCCCCTAGCTACAGTAAATTTTGACCTGTTCCATGGGTAGACAGGCTTGATGTCTCCCTTCTATCAGCTTTAAGATTGGTGTGTTGTTGTTTTTTTCATAGAAACTGAGGCTCAGTTAGAGCTCTATGTAATTCTACCATGACATGAGTCATGAAAGAGGTTAGATACTTCTCATGTATCTCCTTGACTTCAAACATTCTTTTGACTGCATGCATGGTGAGTGTCCACAGAGAAGCACATATGCATGAGTGCAAACTGCCTTGTGTCTGCAGCTCCCTGGGTTTCTATAAACACATATAGCATTTACTCAGCCTTTAGGAATTTGTTATACAATTTAGATTAATTCTTATAACATTACCTATTTTCATGGCATCCACACACATCTCATCTCTCTTGGGTCTACTTCTGTATGTCAGTGTTTACTTACATCCCCTTGGCCCTTTATATAAACTCGTGTTTCCTGAGATATGAAGCTATTTATCTGTGCAGTGACCTCAACACTCCATTGGATTAAAAAGTTGTGATTTTGTAATTGATGCATTTTCTTTTTTCTTCTTGTGGGAATGAGATCCATGCTCTTTACAGCTTTATACATTGTGGGCAGAATCTGACAAGATATATATATATATATATATATATATATATATATATATATATATATATATATATTTTTTTAAAATCCTGTTAAACTTTTTTTTAAGATAAACTAAAAAAGTTTTGTATGAGAAAGGGACTAAAGAATACAGCAAGTAATTTGGCATACTTGACTCAGAAAAACAAAAGTTAAGGAGAACTTATCATTCTTAGACACCAGTTTGGAACCCTTGGAGATAGCCCCACCCACTCCCCTCCATACACACACACACACACACACACACACACACACACATATCAACATTAAAAAAAATGGCTTATCAAATTTTAGTGAATAATCTTATAAACAACTTTCTGTTTCTACTCCATAACTTCCAGTGATATATTAATGCCTTTTAAAATATATGTCTAGCATGTTATTTTAGGTCAGGCTGCTATAACTGAATGTCATAGACCGGGTGGCTAAGTTCTAAAGGCTGGACATCTGAGATCCAGGGGCCAACATGGTTGAATTCTGGTGAGGGTCCTCTTCTGTGTTGCCGACTGATGACTTCTTGTTGTATCCTTAGATTTCAGAAAATAAAAGCAAGCTTTCTCATGGCTTCTATAATGGCACTAATCACATTCATGTATTTTGAAGTATTAAGCCGCTGAGTTTTTAAAAAATATATATATGAATGAACCAGTGTAACCTTACTAATATAGAAATTAATAGCAACTTTGAGGTGCCTCCTTGGACAATTAGTGCCACTGATGTAGCATTCTGGAGGGAGAGAGAGGGCCAGGAAACAGTTATTTCTGGGTGGAAGGGAGGAGATGCTTCCTATGCTTTTGCAAATTTTGGTGAAACTGCCTCCTTTGATGACTGTCAAGACCAATGATGTTTACTGAGGCTGCATTTCCAGAAATGTGTGGAAGGATTAGTGTGCTAATGTATTTGGTTATTATTGGATACTTTATGCACAAAGTATTACAATAAGTCAGCTCAGAAAAAAAAATCTTGATTTTAAATGCAGAGAATGAAAAAATAGAATTTAAATATGAATGATATTTCATTTTGAAAATTTTGACTGGTTCTGACCCCAAAGAGGAAATAATAATAACCACATAGCAACAACATTGAAAACAGGGTTTGAAAAAAAAAAAAAACTTTTAAAATTTCCCTATTGGAAAAAGTAAAGCAGCCTGTATAAAACTTCAGGTTAAGAATATGGCTTGCAGATGGCTTCAAAAAATGTCATTAAATTGAGAAAAACATATTGGGGAGGAGAAAAAAAAATGTATAGAAGTCTGACACCTATACTCAGATACAAATTTGTATATGGTTACTTGGTTTAAAAAATTTATAATAAAAAAAGCATATTAGAAACCTTCTAAGTTTATAATATATCTTTGTCTTGTATGTGAATATGATATATTGATATAAATGTAAATACCTTACATAAGATGCATATATTAGCATATATGATATATACTAATGGCTCGGTGCATGGAATTTGTGCAAGTGAGAGGGGTTGTTCCTCAGCCCAGCCTGCACCCTCTCTAATCTGGGACCCCTTGAAGGATGTCCCACTGCCAGTTTATAGGGATCAGGCCTAAAACGGCAGTCAGACATCCCTCTCGCGACCCAGGACTGCTGGCTCCTAACTGTTCATCTGTCTGCCTGCCAGCCTGCTCGCCACCAAATGCCCCCCCATTCTAGCCTGCTCAACCCCACTGCCTCCCCTGCTGGCCTGCTAACCCCCACTTACCCTCTCCACTGGCCTACTTGCCTCCAACTGCCACCTTGCAGGCTTCTCACTCCAAATGCCCCCTCTTGCTGTTCTGATCACCTCCAACCCCCACTGATGGCCTGCTCACCCCTAACTGGCTCCCTGATGGTCTGCTTAGCCCCAATGGGTCCACCCTCTACCAGCCTGATCACCCACAACTGCCATCCCATCCTGACTTGATCACCCACAACTGCCCTCCCCTCTTAGCCTCTAACTGCCTCTATCTCAGCCCCTCCACCATGGCTTTGTCCAAAAGAATGTATGGAAGGTCTCCTGGAAGGTCTCCCAGTCTAATTAGCATATTACCCTTTTATTAGTATAGAGAGAGGCCTGGTGCACAGGTGGGGCCAGCTTGTTTGCCCTGAAGAGGGTCCTGGTGGGGTGCCTGGCCAGCTTGGGTTAGGGGCTGACAGTTGTTTGCAGGCTGGCCACAGTCCCTTCAGGGAGGAGGGGGTCGTTTGTTTGTAGGGCATTTATCCTGACTCCTATTATTTAATTAAAACATGTTCCTATGCAGTTCTGAACTAGCCAGACATACCACTGCACCACTGTTGATATCATCTATGATGTCATGAGGGTGGCAGCTATCAACAGACCGGGCAGTCTCCCAGATCTCTTTAATGGTTCTAGAGCTTAGCTGCTCCTAATTCTACATTCTCATGAGTATGAGGGGTACTCAGCATTACAAAATTATAGAAGGGGTACACATATGTCAAAAGTTTGGGAAACACTGTTCTAGAGAGTTCTCTAGCTAAAGATCACTGCCACATCTGTTGGACAAATCTGACAATCTTATCAAAAGTCATATTTCTACTGTGATTAACTGCAGAAAACACACACACACACACACACACACACAAACACAGCAAAAGCTCTGTCATAACCCAAAGCAAGAGCAGACTACATAACATCCTCCCTTAGTCATTTCCTGGTTGTTCCCAGGTGTTCAGCACAGAGTCATCCATATGAAGAATAAGAATATGTTTCTTAAACTGGGGCTTAGTTTCAGCCCACCACTGGATTGCACCACCAACAGAGAAGTGGTCAGATGCAGTGACGGGTGGCTAACCTCTGTCAATTCTTCAATCACATTTCATCTTGTCCTTCTCTACCCAGCACTGGTTCCTGTGGTGGTTCTGCTCATGACTTTCTGCTAGATAAGCAGTGACTCCTGTAGTTGTCTGTCTGTCTCTCTCTCTAATCTTTGAGACATTGGTTTGTCTTGTATCCTCGTGTCTCTATGGATTCAAGAAGAGTTGCTGATTTTTAGTGTGTTTAGCTTTTCACTTTTTGTTAGGATGGAGTGGCAACTTCTAAGCCTCTTAGTACAGAACCAGAAACTGCCCAGTTAATTTTTCAGATTTTATGTGCTTTCCATTCCAGTTATTTCTCTAGCACAATAAACCAGCAGCTTAAATACCTTTATCCCAATAAGCTTGTATTAAATTTTGTTTTACTCATTACAAATTATTATATTTTTGTCATATTTACTCACCAAAATGCATCTTTAACCAGTCTGAATTGGATTTCTAAAAATTTGCAAATATGCTTCTGTGGGTTATTTACAGAGTAGAAAATTGTCTATTGGCAGTAGTTCAAATCTTAACTAGCACTGAGATAATTTTCAGAACCTGAAAATTCTACTTTATAAATCTGTATAAAGCAAAAAAGAAAATGAACAACTATTATGCTTAATAAGGGTGCAAATTTCACACCGAGAGCTGTAGAGCCCAAATAATGTCTTATTCATGAGATTATGATATTTAATCTTAAGAATAAAGTAGACTAAAATGTCTTCAAGCATAGAGTTCTTGCTGGAAGGCAGTCATGCAAATTTCTCATTTATTATACCACATTTAGGGACAAATTTCATAGCAGAGGATACTTAAGACCAAAGTCCCCTAGTCAGTAAGTGATATACTGATAAGATTCAAATTGACTAAAAGCACCGAATCAGTCTTAAAATGGATGCCAAGCTTGAATGTAACATCAAAGGCTCCCAAGTGATAAAAGATGTCAAGAAATAAAAGATAGGGAATAACTTTTCTTTAAAGGACAAGTTAAAATAATTACCTCAAGACCACATTTTAAGCTACAGAACTAAAACTGAATTCCAGACCTTTTTATTGGTTCTCTACTTTAAGCACTACGTTAAAAGCTTTAAAGAAAACATCTAATTTGTATTTTGGAGTCTATATTATCTCTGCTACTTGCTATTTCTCAACAGTAAAAATAGAGAGCATTACTTTTTTTTCAAGTCAATTTTATGTTCTCCTCTTCATTTATTGTCCTGAATTTGTTTTTCTAGATATTTTCTGAATGATAGAAAATTACTTTTACTAATCTGTTTAAATATTTGTTCTTCAGTATTCCCTGGAGTTTTTTTGGATATAATTTAAAAATGTATTTGTATGCATTTTTAAAATAATATATAAATGATGGTCTGAGATACCTGATTGTACTCTTTCAACATAATCAGTGAAGTTGAAAATCATGCAGAATAATTCACTAAAATGACAGGGACTGAGATTTAGTGGATTTTGTAGATGAATAAGCAAGCAAATACATGAACAATAGTAAGAAAAGGAAAGTTCAGCATAAATTGTTTTTTTCTTTTATTTTGACAATTATAGTTTAAATTATTTGTGATGTGCTTCACAATACATTAATGAATAGGCTCGAGTATCCTATAAACTAGAATTTTGTGGTTTAGACAACTAAAATTCTGTGCTAATCTTGTCTCAGAGTGTATTGAGATGCTAGGGCTTTGTGAGAAATTAGTTAAGAAAAAAGTAAAGTTGTTATATAGGTTGGCTTCCTTAAATAGAATTTATTTTAAAGTGTGACGTATTCCTCTGGCATATCTGATTTCTTTAACATTTATGTGTCCCAGAAAAGTCTAATAAGTTCTCTGAACTGCTATTTGATGTCCTTTGCTATATTTCTCTGACAACTTTGCATGATAGAGCTACTTAAAGTTATCTTAAAAGTTGTCACAGGTCTTAAAATAAAAATTAAAGCATTGACATTGTCAGTTTAAAGTTCATTTTGTGTAAAGAAGTACTTAGAAATGAATTGTAATTTAAAATAACACTTCTCTATTATTTTAAGCTCTTAGTTAAGCTCATTCTGGTGGTATGACCTTAGGACACTTGGTTTACAAGTTTTGCAAGAAAACTCAGATATATCAAAATTGCCTTCTCATTTTTCTAATGGTAAATATGTATATGTTTCAAAATATACAAAGTGCAATATTTTGATTCCTCACTAAAGTAAAATTTTAATAAAATAATAACCTGGCCAATTTTTAAATTAGTGGTGGAAGACATACAAATTGTTAATTATCTATTTTTCTTTGTTTATGCATGTTAGAATATTTACCCAGTGTTGCTCACTGAGAATGATGGAAGTTATTTGTAGTTATGACATAACATTTTATGTGATGAGCTAGAATCATTGATTGGCTGCCTTCTGCATGCCCCTCACTGGTAATGAGCCTGCAACTCAGGCCTGTGCCCTTGACTGGAATCAAGCCTGGGACCCTTCAATCCACAGGCCAATGCTCTATCCACTGAGCAAAATTGACTAGGAGAGGAAGCAAAAGTTTCTGACCATAAAGTGTTATATATAAAGCATAGTAGAACTGTGAAGCTAACATTTAAATTGAGCATATAAAAAATAACACATTTAATTGCATTTAGTCATTTTTTCAGATATACTTATGGAATTAGATATACCATATATATTCTCTGAATTCTCAGTGTATTAAATTCTGTAACATTAAAATAGTCTCTGTAATACCTATTTCTAGCTAAGAATATGTGTTTTGGGGTATCCTTTTGAGGTTCGTGGAAATGATTGTGCAAGCTCAAAAACTTAAAATTTTCATTGCAAACCTATTGAAGACTGTTCATGCAGCCTGTCAGTGATTATTTAGAAATATCTTTCTAGCTATTGTGGAGGTTTTGTCCAGCATTAAAACTGAGTAAAAATAAATAACATAGATGGCATGTGACTCATTTATCTACAGACAGGAGATACTACCAGCGAAAATAAATACAAAGTGTCTAGTTCAATATTATCGTGAGCATGGTAACAGATAGCAAAGTAAAGAGTATTTGCTAAAATGTATTTTTTTATCTATGAAATGCTATTGATAGTATTTTACTGGTAAATGATTGTTTTTGTAGACACACTTGCAATCTATTAATTTATGATACTTTGGTCCACAGCAAATGTCACTTAAGTAGTTAACTTCTTGTGGTAAAAAGGAAATGGAGGTGTTTCAAAATATGAGTGCTCTCTGCCATGAGGGCTGATTTAGAATCTTATTAAAACTTCACTAACTGTTCTTTACCAGGAGACATGAGTCCCATGTAGAAAGAAAGAAGCTACTGAGATGTGCCTGACCTCTCTGCTTTGCCTGTGTCTACTTGTTGAAACTTTGAAAGAAAGTATCAGTAACATTTAACTTCGGTAATTAAGATTGCTCATTCCTGTAGACTTGATTTGGCAAACAAGTCTTTCAGCTGGTTTTAGCTCAACATGCACATACACACTAACACATATATAAAACTGTAAATTTCATTTTCATTCAGTCAACGTCTTAAATTTGCTTTTGAGTTTGTTTTATATTTAATAACAAATTTAAGCTACATGTGTAAATGATAGGGAACCAAGACTTCTACATGCACAAGTTGATGAATTTTGACATGTGTTCAAAGGTAGAGCAAGACGAAGAATGTTCCATTACCACAGAAAGTTCCTTTTTTTTCCTTTTCCCAGCTAACATTATCCATTCCCCAACCAATGACAACTGCTATTCTTACTTTAATCACCACACAGTAGTTTTGCCTCTTTATACTACCGAATGTTGAGCTTTTTTGTCACAGGTAAATTACCAGAGGATTATTTTTATCTCACGGAGGCCTGGTTTCTGGTTTTGTAAAGGAGGCTTGTTGAGATCTGCCCTTTGTCCTACAGCAAAAATTTTAGTCTGCAGCTTAATCCTAGTAAATGTCAATCTTGCATTGAAGTGAAATGCCAGAGTGTTTTTTTTTAATTCATTTTTGATGGGATTCAAACTTCTTTTTTTATTTTTCTTTCTTTTTCCAAGCAGAGGTGGTAGCTAAAAAAAATAATAATAATAATAAAAAATTACTGCTCAGATGCTAATTTCTTCTAAACTCCTAGTACTTTTGTCACTTGCATGGACAGTTAAATAGGACAACATAGATTTGAGGCACACTTTTTTTTTTCTTTTTTTTTTCTTTCTTTCTTTCTTTTTTTTTTTTTTTTGAGAATCTACTCTTTGTGGCTCCCTTAATTTTAGAATTTCCTCTTCAATTTCCAGTACCTCTGCCAACCTCAAACTTTGTTCATTTTTCCTGCATCTTAGTGAGACAGTCATGTTCTGTTTTTCATTTTATTCCACCATATGACTCTAAAAAGTATTCTTTGTGGGGGGTGGATAGCTAAATCTAACACAACTCTTTTGCTTATCTTCTTCTAAGGATAGTGTCCCTTTAAATTTTACCTATGTAAAGTTGTTCTTAAAATTTTGCTTTTTTATATTTTATCTAGAGTCAATAATTTTTTTTTTGCTACTGCTAAAGGTATAGCCAATACAAGTTACCAGAACCAGAACTCCAAATAATGTTTCTTAAATTAGAATTCAAGTAAAATGCTGATTCAAAATATAAAACTACTAGAGGCCCAATGCACGAAATCACACGAGACCCAGACCAGGTGTGCTGGGGACTCAGCATCAAGTGTCCAACCACTCATGCATGCCTTGTTGCACATGCTGCCCACCCACCTTGAAGACAGTTGTGGACGGAGATAAGAATAGTTTCCTGCCCTAACCTTTCCTTCTCAGGAGCACTTACATTAACCTTCGTTGAAGATGAGAATTGAACGAAGCAACATTGACTTGTTCTCATGAAGAAATCATATGACATTCAGCAGGTGCTTTTTGGCATTTGGTCATGATGGTGTGATGGCGTCACAGACACGGGTTTGTTTGTTTTGTAATAATAGAGATATAGTACATCGTTATACC